GCCCGGGCTCTCTGCCTAATTTTATAGTTTATTTTGCCATGAAAAGCCTCTTTTTCTTTCTTCTTTATGAAGATACATATGGTGTATGTAAATAATATTTGGATTTGAGGTTAAAAGGTAACTACCATGCCAGATTTTTCTTAACGAAAACTTGATATGGTTCAGTAATTTTATTTCTTATTCCAACCACCTCTAACAGAGAGAGGGCTAAGATTAGATCAACAGGTGTGTTTCTACAAGTGTGAAGATACAGTGGCAAATTTGTGGAAGGAAAATAGTCTTAAGGGATGAGAAAACTCGGAAGCTTCTGGAAATGTGAATTAGCTTAAAAACAGGTTTCAGAGGAAGAGAGTCCCATGCTGAGAACCTGCAGACCCAATCTGTCCCTGGAACTGTAAAGACCTTCTATATTTCACGGGTGCTGTGGGATAACAATAGCTACTTTCCAGAATCATTAAGAGGGTTAGACCAATGACTGTATGGAAAGCACCTGAGACAATGCTCACAATTACTACTTCCCTTTCGCCCACCTCTTTTTCATTTAATTAAATCAAAGTCTCTTTTGTGTCATCGTTATCCATGACACTGTAAATAGACTATCATTTTAAACATTACACAATATTTTAGATATTTAAAAATAACCTGGTCATCCTGCCAAAACTTCTAAGCCTAAGGAAAAAAATAAAATCAAAACCTTAGCTTTTCTACAGTGTTCTTTTTGGTAATGTTAGACTCAGTCAAATGTGAGGCAAGACCAGGACAAAATTCCGTCTTTAGTTGAAGCACATAGCTTCTTTTTGGCTGTGGACATCTGGGTCCCTGGGATTTTTAATCCAGTGAGAAGACTTAATTTGCTACTTATTAGTGAGAATCCATAAACTATGAAATCCATAATCTTCCATCACAAAGTGACAGCAATCATTATCACTTTCAATTTATGCTTTTGAAGAGCTCTATTTACTTTGTCCACTTTTCATCTTAATGTGACTCTAAAACGCTTGGGGACCTTGCCATCCAAGATGACTGGAGACATGCTTCGTTGTTTAGTGTCATGCGGCAATTACTTGATGGGCCCTGTTTTCATGGGGATGTCAGTCTTTCAACCATCTTGAGGTCAGTAGAGAAGGCGGTGTATAGTACACAAATGTCAATAGCAGAAATCCCACATTAACCCAAAGAGTCTGGCATGGCTGGCCGCAGTTTCTCACAAAGAATAATGAAGCAGGTTTATGGGGTTGGGGAGCTGGGAACGTAATTAGTCCAGCTCCAGGAATGCCAAAAAGCCTATTTAATATCTTTTGCTTTTACTCTTCTAAGCCACCTAGAGGGAGAATTGCTCACAAACACCTAATTTCATTACATTAAAAAAAGAAAAAAGAAAAAAAAAAAGATTAGTGCACGGGGTAATCTGATGGATGAATCTGCAGCTTTTCTTTCGACCTCTGTTTAGAGGAAAGCCATGGAAAGGACTTCAGATGATTTTAGACCCTTATGACTTGCTAAGCATTCCTAAAATACTTTCTGGTGGAAAGAGAATGAACTAGAAAGACCATGTCATATTTTAAATTTAAAAAAAAATTACTAGGGGTGCCTGGATGGCTCAGTGGGTTAAAGCCTCTGCCTTCGGCTCGGGTCATGGTCTCAGGGTCCTGGGATTGAGCCCCGCATGGGGCTCTCTGCTCAGCGGGGAGCCTGCTTCTCTCCCTCTCTCAGTCTGCCTCTCTGCCTACTTGTGATCTCTCTCTCCGTCAAATAAATAAATAAAAATCTTTTAAAAAAAATTACTAGCTGTTGCTCAAAAGAGATGGCAAACAACCTAGCACGCATGCATCTCCAAATCATGTATTTGTCGGTGCTGACACTCAGTTTCAGAGAGAAGACCGCCATGCTCCTCAGATGTTCCCGCCTTCTCTTTATCCCCAAACTGACCCTTGTCTACAGGGCTTTCATTCATGCTAATGAAGAAAACCTTATGAAAAGCATCACTCAGCATCTGGAAAGCAACATTTCAAAAAAGGGCCTCGTAAAAAATGTTGAGACTGGGCTAAGGACTGCAAGAGAACTTTTAATCTAATAAATAAGACGTACTAGCCATTGAATAGATATGCTAATATCTGGAGACATAAAGTCACTCAAGAGCCAGGAGAAGGCTCCTAGCACCGTGTTCATCCCATTGTGGGGGTGGCGTCAGGAGTCGATCCATGAAGCTCCTTCTCCACCACCATCATCATGAAAAGTGTTTTTGAACTGCTTTCTGTGTGTAGGGCACTGGGATAAGCACAGGCACATAGACGAACTTCTTGCAAAGATATGAGGTAAACCAAACTCTAGAAATGAGATAACCAATGTCAAACTTCCTTTCCAAGAGCCAATATGGTTCTCAAATGATCCCTGGAATGCATTTCTTCTCAAGTAGTAGATGGTACTATGTTGAGTTTTAATTGGCTGTGTACACAACAAGTATCTTGACGAAGAGTAAAAAAATAAGTCATATAATTTGTATGTTGGTGTCAGTATTTGCCTTATTTAGGGAAAACTGAGATGTGAACATTAGAAAATTTCTCTCTACAAACACTGCCTGTTTTTTGTTTGTTTGTGGTGGCAGTGAAGTCAGAAGTTTTTTTTTTTTTTAATTTTATTGTTTCCTAACATCTTACTATAAAAATTTCAAACATGTAGCAAAGTAGAAAGAATATTAACGACAGTATTCCCACCACCTGCATTCTACCATTAACAATTACTTGACCTGCTTTATAATATAGCTTCCATCCACCCATCCTACCTACAATCCATACATCAATACCATGTTTTTGATGCATTTCAAAGTAGACTGCAGACAGCACATAATACTGTTTTTGAAGTAGACTCAAAGAGTATTCCTAATCCTATAAAAACACCTAGAAAACATTTATGAGTTTTTTTTTAAACAAAGAACAAGCTCATCCTGAATTATGCACACAGATTTTCGATATAGCTCAATCGACAGGCTCTGAGAAAGTATGGTAAGTTAATTCAAAGTTTTGTCTACCTTTATCAACGCTATAGACATTTTCAGTACTCCCTCAAATGCTGGGCTTTGTGAAGACACGGGCTATGGAGTATAGAGAAATAACCTCTCTGCTACGTAGCATCAGGGAAAACTACCTGGCATGTTGGCTATCGGTATTTTTTTTTTTTTCTTTACACTCCAGTAGTTTCCTTATTATTCCTTGGGTGTAGAAATAGATTTCTATGCCTCAATTCCCTCATTTACAAGGTGAGTTTTATACTACTGATGGCACAGGCCTGTCATGAGGATCAAATGCAAAAAATAAGAGAACACTTTGTATAGATTAAAGCACTATGCGCATCTAAGGTAGCATTATTGTTAGTAATCATAATGCATCTGCAATACAACACAGCTAAGGTAATGGGCCACACTGCTACTGAGTTCTTTTAAATCAGTCAAAAAGATTTCAAAGGTTAAAGGGACAGAGTATTGGCAGTTGCCTTCACTCTGCCCATCAGTACATCATCTTGTCAAGGATCCAGAAGAACCTCAGTGTATATCACACAGACCTGTTTTCATTAGTGAAGGGTTTGTTTTGGAAGTCATCCCAGCCCTAAAACAATACTTCCATTAGCTGGGCACAGTACCTATAATTATCCATCTTATCTGACCCGTGCCAAACTATTTTACTTACTGCATCCCATTTACGTTTACCTTGGTAGATCTGAAAGAAGAGCGAGGCATTCACTCAATATATGAGAAAGTACAGAGAATGTTCATTTCTTTGAACAAACACCTACAAATAAACTTTGTGTAGAAATTCCTGCAACAGGATATTATCAGGTACCGTAAGTGGCAAATCATTTTTAAGTGATGGAAACCCTCTGTCTCCATACAGAAAAAATTCTGTTATAGGAGTATCTTAAGTTTACAGGGAATAAAGTAATACAGCTTCCATTTCTGTGTCAGGTTGGATACAAATCAAGAAAGTGAGATGCAAGGTCAAGGCTAGCTAGGGAACCAAGAAAAGATAAAATAATCAGGGAAGTGAGTTCAGCATCAATTACTGTTATTGAGAACTTGCCAGATCTCTGGTACTTTTTGCCAGAGAAAGATTGGAAATTACCCTTACCCTCAAAAAGCATCCATTTCATAAGAGTTGGAAAGAGCAAATAATCAGAGACAGAAAAATTACACATTGTAAGAAAATGGAATAGAATATGTAAAAAGAGAGACATAAGCACTGTTTGTGATCTAATTACAAGTTATACTCAACATTGTGTGTGTGTGTGTGTGTGTGTGTACAATGTGGACAACATCACAGCAATGAGAAGACCTTCAACAGGGCACATCCAGTTACCCCCAAATTCAAAATATGATTTTCAGGTAGGAAAAGAATCAGAGGCGAAGACTGGTTGTGCCATCTGAGGGGGAGGATTCCCTGACCCATGAGCTCCAGCTGTCTGGTGCTGAGAACAAGAACATATATTAAGTACACTGAGATGGTGGCATCAAGCCATCATCCTCCGACACCACTACACACTCCAAACATGCAAGTAAACTCCTTAATTTGGTTCCGTATTTACGAAGCAAACTTCTAATCACATTTATAATTTGGCATCCTATATGACACACATACTGGGAAAAAATAAGTGGCCCAAAGGGGTTAAAAATTTGCTTGCCATGTCAGTGAGATTTCTCACTGTAGTTACAACAACACATTGGTGTGTGTGTGTGTGTGTGTGTGTGAACATACATACTCACATACATTATACACAAACATACACACATATTTAACATGTACTTCTAAGAGAAACATTGGCAAATCTGAATTTATAGCAATGCGGATTTCTAGATATTTTGGTAAAAGTTTGCATTCTAAGAAATTCTAAGACACTTTGCATTAGAACCATGTAAGCATCCTCACTGTGCTGCATGATAGTATTGTTTATTTCTTCCATTTAGTCTATGTGTTTTTGTTTTACCGCTGATGGCTCCACGTTCGTCTTACCTGACTGTCCAGGAGGAGGGGCACCTGATGATCCTCGAGGGAGACAAAGAAACACAGTCAGAACAGCAGCTCTGTTCCCAGCACATGGTTCAATGGCTATGGGCTTGGGTGCTCCCTGAAAAAGAAAACCCAATCTTAAATTCGCATAATTGACAGGACACTGTGATTCTACTTTTCTCCTACCCTTGCTGAAGTCAGTTAAACTATACACTTCTAGTGGATGGGGACAGAAAATGTCTCATTTTCTAATAGTTCAATTGACTATTTTCTCATTGTAATACAGTGTTTTTGTAGTGGTGGTCATTAACATTTAGAAGACATTTTGGGAGGGGGGAGTTAAATATTGGTACATATTTATTTTTTTAAAGTACTCTTTTTTCTATCTTTAGTTTGCTTTTTTCTTTGATAGACTTTATTTTTTAGATTCTTTTAGACTTTATTTTTTTTTAACAATTGTCAGGATTATTTTTATTAAATTTTTAAATTCACATATAATGTATTACTGGTTTCAGAGGTACAGGTCTGTGATTCATCAGTCTTATACTGCAAGCATGTGATGTAGAATTTATTGTTTAGAGCAGTTCTAGGTTCACAGCAAAAGTGAGAGGAAGGGACAATATTTCCCCTACACACTTTGCCTTAACATATGCATAGCTTCCCACATCATCAACTGCCCCCACCTGGAGTTATATTTGTTACAACTGATGAACCTTCATTGACACATCACGGTCATCAGAGGCCCATAGTTTACATTAGGGTTCACTCTTGTGTTATAGTTTATGGGTTTGGACAAATGTAAATGACATGAATCCACCACTATAGTATCATACAGAGTATATTCACTGCCCTAAATTCCCGTGCACCACCTATTTTATCCCTTCTTCACTACCCCAAACCCTGGCACCACTGATCTTAGTGGCTCCATAGTTCTGCCTTTTCCAGAATGTCATATAGTTGAAATCATAGAATTTAACCTTTTCAGGTTGACTTCTTTCACTAGTAATAAATAGGCACCTAAGGTTCCTCCATGGCTTCTCTTGTCTTGATAGCTCATTCCTTTTTAGTGCTGAGAAACACTACATTGTCTGGAGGTACCATAGTTCATTTATCCATTCACCTTCTGAAGGACACCTTGGATGCTTATAAATTTCCACTAGTAAAAATAAAGCTACTACTATATGGAGTACGTGGGTGGCTCAGTCAGGGAAGTGTCCAACTCTTGACTTTGGCTCAGGTCATGATCTCAGGGTCATAAGACAGCCCCCATGTTGTGTCCCATGCTGGGCAGGAAGCCTGCTTAAGATTCTCTCTCCCTCTGTCCCTTCCCACCCATTTGCATGTGTTCTCTCTAAAAATATAAAGAAATAAAATAAATAAAGCTACTGTAAACATCCATGTGGTGGTTCTTGTGTGAATATAAGTTTTCAGCTCCACTGGGAAAATATCAAGGAGTGTGACTGCTGGATCTTATAGTACAAGCATGTTTAGTTCTTTAAGAAATCATCAATTATCTTCCAAAGTGGCTGTATCATTTTGCATTACCACCATCAATGAATAAGATCTCCTCTTGCTCTGCCTCTTCAACAGCATTTAATGGTGTCAGTGTTCCAGATTTGGGCCATTCTAAAAGGTGTGCAGTGACATCTTGCTGCTGTTTTAATTTGAACTTCTCTGAGGATATATGATATGAAGGATCTTTTCATATGCTTATTTGCTATTCTGTATGTTTCCTTTGGTGAGGTATCTGTTAAGGTCTTTGGACAACTTTTAATTGGCTTGTTTCTTATTGTTGAGATTTAAGAGTTCTTTGTATATTTTGGAAAGCAATTTTTTTTTAATCAGATGCCTCTTTTGCAAATATTTTCTCCCAGTTTGTGTTTTGTCTTTCCATTCTCTTGATATTGTCTTCTAAAGAGCAAAAGTTTTTGATTTTGATGAATTCCAGCTTCATAATTATTTCTTTCATAGATCGTGTTTTTGGTGTTGTCTCTAAAAAGTCATTGCCATATGCCAGGTCATCAGGTGTTCTTCTAGGTTATCCAGGACTTTTATAGTTTTGCAGTTTACATTTAGGTCTATCATCCATTTTGAGTTAATTTTTGTGGAAGGTATAAGGTAGCTATCTAGATTCATTTTTTTGCACTGGATGTCCAGTTGTTCCAGAACCATTTCTCAAAAAGACTACCTTTGCTTCATTGCATTGCAAAGACTACCATGCATTCATTGCATGACAAAGATCAATAGACTATATTTATGTAGGTCTAATTTTGCACTCTATTCTGTTTCATTGATCTAATTGTCTATTCTTTTACCAATACTACACTATCTTGATTACTGTAGATTCATAGTAAGTCTTGAAGTTGGGTAGTGTCAGGCCCCCCGACTTCAATACTGTGTTGGCTATTCTGGAGCTTTTGCCTCTCCATATAAAATTTAGAGTTAATTTGTAGATATTCACAAAATAACCTGGTATTTTGATTGGGATTGTTTTGAATCTATACATCAGGTTGGGAAGAACTGATATCTTGACAGTATTGATCATCCATATTCATGAACACAGAATAACTTTACCTTTATTAGTTCTTTTTTATTTTATTCATCAAACTTTTATAGTTTTCCTCATACAGATCTTGTACGTATTTTGTTAGATTTATATCTAAGTATTTCATTTTGAGGGATAGTAGTATAAATGCTATTATATCTTTAATTTTAAATCCTACTTGTTCATTGCTGGTTCACAGGAAAGAAACTGACTTGTATTTTACCTTGTATCTTGCAACCTTGCTGTAATTGCTTATCATTCCGTGAGTACGTTTGTTGATTCTTTGGACTTTTCTACATAGAAAATCATGTCATGTGTGAATAAAGAGAGTTTCATTTTTTGCATACCCATCTGTATATCTTTCATTTCTTTTTCTTGTCATAATGCATTAGCTGCAGTTTCCAGTACAGTGTTGAAAAGGAGTGGTGAGAAGGGGACAACCTTCCTTGTACTTGATCTTGGTGGGAATGCTTTAACTTTCTCATCGTTAAGCATGATGTTAGTTGTAGGATTTGTGCAGATATTCTTCAACATGTTAAGGAAGTTCCCCTCTATTCTTAGTTTAGTGAGAGTCTGTATACAGTTTTTATAGGAAAAGTAAGCTAAATACTTGATTATTCCCTTCCATTTATCAATTTTCAAAATAATTATTTGCTAGCATTCTCCAAACATGACAATTTATATTATCATTATAAAATTATAACTTTTAATATTTCTGATGTGTTTCAATTGCTAGCTTCTATAATTTTTATTAGTTTTATCAATTGTTCAAATTGTTCTATTGAATATTGAAAATCTTTGAACAATGAGAATGTTTTCAAATTGACTCCTGAGTTCTGACATGACCACAAAAGCCTTTGATAGCTTCCTTGTCTTCTGCCTGTCCCAGACCTATAATCAAGACAGTTCTCTAAGGAAACTTGCTGGAAAGTGGTATTAATTCCAGACATAAGAGGTATTTATTACTACTGGACTGGCCATTCTTCTAGCACATTTTAAGCAACAGAGCTCAGTGTCATAAATTAGATTTCCAAAGAAGCAGACTCCCTGGGAGAAAGAGTTACCAAGCAGAGGTTCTTATGGTTGAAAAAAAATGTAGAAGAAAAAAGAAGTGAAGCCTTGTTAGATAGAGGGAAAGGGCTGAATTGAGATGCAGGGCCAAGAGAAGACCTAGAGCCAGAACGATCCTTCAACAATCAAGCTGGGCCAAGAGGGCCAAGCCTTTATGCTCCTTCAAAGATCAGTTTTTACATTGCCCTTGGGAAGGGTAATGACCTTGGAAAAGGTGGCTCTCTGCTGTTATAGTAATACCTGAAGAGGTTGACAGCTGAAGACAGTGAACAGCATTCCCTGAAAATGGATATCATGTCTTCAATGAAGGTGGAATTGTGTAAAATATCAATGTACCCTCCAAACTCAGAATTGTTTTTAAAAAGGAAAAATATATCATGAATTCACAATGATATTGCCAATTCAAATTTAATTTGCTTTAACTTCTTTGTATTTTTGTATCTCTTTTCTCTTAGATTGAAAATCTGATACCTAGTAATACTGATAATTACTTTTATTATAGCATAAAATACAATTTAAATATTTTTTATATTATATGTGACAATAAAACTAATTAAAATTGACTTCTTTGTAGTTTTGGGGTTTTTTTTGTCTTAAGGATCCTGCAAAGAATATATTGTGTGTTTAAATACTGCATGTTTAAAATCACTTGGAAAAAGAAATAAAATAAAATCACTTGAAATAGGTCTTCTCTGTGTGGTTTCGCCACTGAGTCCATCCCAATTTAGGTAAGTTTGTGAATTCAGAGGCTGGCTGTTTTGAGGGATTGTTCCCCTTTCCATTTTTATTTAATATTGCTTTTAATTTTAAGATGCTGATATGGCTCCAGGGTCAGATCTAAAAAATAAAGTACATTTAGAGAAGTTTACCATCCACCCTTGTTCCCTTCATGCTGTTCCCTTTTTAGCAAGTAAGTTTTTATGTGGATAGAAGTTCTCAGATCCTTGGAGTAAATATCAAGGACTATGACTGCCGGATTGTATGGTGCCATGTTTCATTTTAATACCAAATCCTGGTGCAAAAGGGATGTGCGGCAGGCCTACATTTGAATAAATGAATGCATGTCACTATATTTGATGGGTAGTCTGTGAGCCACAAAGGTATGCAACTACACAATATGTACTACACAATACAGTTTACCTAATTAAATGACCACAACACAAAATATTTTGTTAGCATATCTTTAATATCACTTCAGTGAAATACGTATGTCTAAATAACATGACCCTAGGAATAGAGTCAGTGAAAATATGATAATGATTATAGTAGTAATAGCTAGTTTTGTATTAAGTACTTACTATGAATTAGATACTCACAATTCTTTACATATATTAACTCTTTTAAATCTTATAGTAAGAACACTGAAGCAAAGTTAAAATTACCTATTTAAATGTATATAATTAGGAAGGAGAAGGGCTGAGATTTACACTCAGGCAGGCTGCCTCCTGAGTCCATCCTCTTAATCACACAATGTAGTTTATCATATGTGTGCATGTGCAAAC